GTCTTAATCCTGCCCCATCTCCAAATAGACCGTGGATGTAACCTCTAATCAATTTTCCAATCACACAATCTTTGATTTTAGAATCACGAGCTCAACTAAATTATTCCAAACAAGGGTCGATTCGTGTACCCTATATTAGTGTCAAAGTGAACTCAATGAAGATAATATCATAAAATAATGTCAGTGCAACATTAATATGAGATGATTTTGTGAGGCACTCCTACGGATTTTAGAGGTGGCTCCCATCCTTTTTCAAGTGCAAGTACTTAGCTCCCCAAGTAACTTCTTAACTTCATAATTACACCTTGAAAGAGTACAATTAACATGCCGATCAACGCGACAACATGGTAAAGTATGCCCAGAACAAGGTTCACATGGTAAAGTATAAGTTTTCAAACGTTTGTCATCACAGAGATCAGCAACAGAGGAGGGAAAAAAATGAGTTGAACTTATTCATGCAATAAATTAAGAGATATGTCCAAACCAGTTCTTGAAAATTCCAGTTCGGCAAGGTCACTTGAAACCAAATTATATATCTTGAGATACATTAATCAGACAATTAATAGCTTGGTGCTATATTACAAAATTTTGCCGAGTGCGAGACAAAAAAGGGCAAAACCAGCAGAAGTTTTGAGAAAGATTCTACCAGCTACCTCCACTCTTGTATTCCATCTTTGCTTTTCAACTGATGGATCGCTTCTCGTTTTCATCCTTGTGTTCTTTGTCTTAACCAAGTGAAAAGGACCATTTTTATACGACATTCGACTAAACATGATAAGGATGAATGTGACATGATCGAGCGGGTTATCGTCATGTTGTTTTCTGGTTTTCTTTTCTTTTGAGCTGCGAATACGGGATGATCGAGCGGATTATCGAGGGAAGTTTATAGGGATTTGAAGGCCACTAAATCGTCTCTTGCGGTTTTGTTACGAACAAAGATTACCATATATGATTCCAGGAATCTGTTTTACATGCATGCACGTCAATTTATACAACTATACCAACATTTCTTTTCATATTTATTTTCTCTTGGTACGTATGAGTTTTAGTACTTTTTTTAACTTTAAGCACGTAAATTTTTACTCATAAAAGGAAAGAGTTAAGCATGGGGTATATTTTTTTTTTTCTTGTTAGTAAAAGAGCCCCCAAGAAAATTTTAAGAAAAAGAAAAGCAAAAAGGTGCAGCATAGTTGCACCTTTTTTTTTTTAAAGTAAAGTTGATCAACTTAATGGTAGCGGTCAATGTGAAAAAAAAATCTGAGGTGTATTGTCAATTGAGATGGCCAGTTGCTGTTACAGGACCATTAGGTCTGCAAGCTAGGGTTGAGAACCAGCTGTGAAGGCAATTTTGCAAGTTGCAACTAAGCTGTCTAGTGGAATTATAATATAGGTTAAATTTAATAAAAAGATGTTGCCTAGGAAAATGGTACAAATGAAGATTACAGGAATCAATTAGCTACTACAACTTTTATTCTTTTTTTTAAAAAAAAAAAAATACAATTCCTCAGTCCTAATATATCCAACATAAATATTCATGCGTACCTTTTAAAATCCAACATATATACATCAATTAAAGTCAGGGGCCTTTACAACCTTAGTAGTGGTTCGATCGGTTCAATATGAGATTTGTATGCATGGAAATTAATGATTGTGGAAGAAAGTCTTTGATAAGTATTAAAAATTTGTCGTGTTTTTATGCATTATCATATGTAATGTATATAATATATTTTTTTGAATTTTACATCTTTTGTGTTGGTCCATCTATTGTACCGTACAATAGTGACTCACAATTAAAAAAAAAAAAAAGAAAAAAGCCCTGTATCCCACATGAGTCATGATGGCTCATAAGTTTTATTTTATTTCATTTTATTATGATGGTATATATTTTTCTTTTTAAAGTATATAGATAGGCTCTAAAGGCAACATCAAAATCCAGGTAAGCAACAACCAAGCTGGCCAAGGATGGGGCATGCATTTGTTGCTATGTATCCATCTTTTGGCTGACGTAATGAGTAGGGATTGCTTAATAGAAGTGGCATTTTCTGCATATATAATTACACAAACATCATTTTCAGTCATCAACGGGCATTTGTGGTATCTTTTGGGCGTATGTAGCTGGCTCATCGTCCAAGCCAAAAAGGGCTGTTACTTTCACAAATGGGGTCTTCTTTCTCACTTCTGTTGAGACAGAAAGAAAGAGCAAATCACTCACAATATATTATTATTATCTCCATATTTGTCCAGCTAGCAAATGCAAATTACTATATTATAGTAGTAGTAGTTGTAATCTAGCCAGTTGCCTCTAATATAAATCAGCCACCATGTATGTTGTCTTTTCTACAAATCACATGGCCACAATAACTTGGGATGCCTCTAATGCAGTAAGAGAAATCCATTCTTTCTTTCTTTTTTTGGGGAGGGGAGGGGGGGGGGGGGGAGATTTTCGAATGACATGAATAGTATAGGGAGGCATATATGATGATGATGATGATGATGATTCACAAGTATAGGCAAGAAAATTCATTTAGTCCCAAGGCAAGTAGTTTTCATAACATTGGCAATAAAAGATCCAAAAGAAAAAAAGAACAAATTGGAGACTTCATGATCATATGGAGAATTAATTTCAAAAAATTGGCATTGCGTGACAACGATGTGTTTAGTTGGATAACAAACCATTTTGATCATCCAAAAAATAGCCAAACATACCCAGTTAGTTCTTAATTATCGGTCTTATTGAGCTTGTTTTGGACCGTATTTTTGAAAATAATCACTAGCGAAACCACAGTTAAGGTTGGGGGTGGCAAGATTGATAAAGATGTTTATTTAAGAAAGTACCCTTGCATATTTAAAAATTTTAGGGGGACAAACTCTAATATTACATTTTTAAGGGGACGTTCAAGGATTTATTGGATTTTGTGGGGGGGACAAAATTTAATTTTTACTAGGATATGGGTAAAATTCTAAATTATTTGGAAGGGCTACGAACAGAGAATTTTTGGAATCTCGGGGCGCCCCATTAGATCCGCCGCTGGAAATAATTATATAACTTTACATTTCATATTACCAACATTGCCGCTTAATTTTACTTATCTTCTTCCTACATTTTTCTACGATGAACATTTGCTTGTTGAGATTTTAAATTTTGGCACTAAAATTCAACAAATGATATTTGAACAAAACTTTCCATAGGCATAGGCTAACGATTTCTTTACCGTTTGCATAAATCTTAAGATTACCTATTTGAATTGTTATTTTTAAGAGTTTTTGTAAAAAAATATATTATAGTGATTTGATGTATGTGAGATAAAAAGATAATGTATTCATGAAAAATTCTTAAAAATTTTTCAGTAGAAAATCACAGTCCAACGAACGTAGTGTTTCCATGTATAAATATAGTCTTGGAGGATTTTGCTTATCACTTTCAATATCCATTTTGGAAAAATTTCCCTCAAATTTATTGACCAAATTGGTGAATAGAGGTTATGGTACATCATACATGGATTAAAAAAAATAATAACAATAAAGAAGTACGTTTAATCTCAATGTGAAAATGTATACACTATATATAAAAATAATCTATATATTGATCCAATTTTCATCTCTATTAGTTAAATGTCTTGTAAGGTTTGAAATCCTTTCTTGAACCAAAACAAAAACTAATATACATATATATATATATATATCAATCAATGGGTAAAGATTCCTAACTTATGCATATTATACCATATTTAAAAGATTCCTAATTACCCTAATTTCTTGCAAAATCAACGGCTATTTGAAACAAATACAGCAAAAAGTCATCAAAAAGGGACCACAAATGATGAAAAAACAAATCCTTGCGTTAAAAAGAAAAAAGGAACAAATCCTCCTCATAGTGATTGATGTATGCTTAATTAAAATAATTTAATTCCTTAGAAAAACGGGCCTCAAGATTATTATCATAATTAATTACTTTTAAGCGCTGACCTCATCCAACTTTTTAACATATCTAGTCTATGCGGGAATGGGGAGCTTTTCAATCGAATTCTGATTGCTGACGTGGCCCGCTTGCATTGGTTGATTGGTGGTTGTCCGCTCGTGTGAATTTGGTCGTCCGCTTCTTGTGTGAATTTGCTGGCCTGCCGATTGTTTCTTTCTTTCCATTCCCACGCCTGAATTCTTTCGTTTTTTTAACATATCTCAAACGTTTAACAATTCTTTTGGATTTTGTTTCTTTTTTTTTTGCTCAGCCGTTTTGTAATACTTTTTCCCAATTAATTTTTCGTTATCTAATCAATTGTTTCATTTTTTATTACCTAACACATAACATTTAGCTTTCAACTTCATACAATTATTAGCATTTTTTTGTGGTTTCCAAATAAATGACAATTAATTATCAAATCCTTGTAATTGACACATACTAATTATTATTAACACGTTTTTTTTCCAACTTCATACAATTATTAGCTTTTTTTTTGGTTTCCAAATAAATGACAATTAATTAACAAATCCTTGTAATTGACACATATTAATTATTATTAACACGTTTTTTTTTCTGAATATAAGAGGGGGAGGCATTCGCCTATTATTATCAAATTTTCATTACAACTTTATATGTGATAAATTTAATTATGCCCAGTAAGTTTATATGTAAGTCAATTTTAAAGGTTTATTTTTAGATGAAAAAAGGGACAAACACTTAACTCAACTCATTACTCTTGTCTTCTTTGCTTTTGGCGGGCTTAATAGTTAATTGTTTCATAATTAACTACTCTTATAAAGTAACACCCTTTATTACCAGGTCTTTGCAACGGACAAATTTTGTTTGTTTAGTTTGGCTGCATCGGTTCTCGATTTCTTCATCCGCCGCTCATATTTCCTGTCATCAGCCTCCAGCCTCCTTTTGTTGACAGCTGATTTTACCTGAGCTGCGTACTACCTGGCTCATTTTTATTAGATTGCCCATCCTTTCTGCCTCCATTTACGCTTCCTCATAGGAGCCTTCTGTAGTCTTTTTTGTCCTTTTCTGAGGTCATGCCTGTAAATCTGCAATCCGCCCCCGCCTCTTCTCGTTGTCATCCATCACCTCTTCTGCTTCCGTCGATTGACACTGTTCTCTGCTTTGCATTTGTATAATGGTTATACAGTTTCTCCCCTTTTCTTTGCATTTTTCCAACAGTTATAGAATTTCTCCGCTTTCCCCCACCAGATTTTCGGCTGCTCAACATCATGAACAGTGGTAATTGTGCATCTGCTCCTTTCTTTACCCTTTTTTACTGCTCTTGTTTCTTTGCTGAACAGAAGGAACTACCTCATAAGCATTGCTCTTTCTTTTTCTTTACCTGTTTTGAACCATCCTTTTCCCTGCCTTATTTGTTTAGCTCCGATTTGCGCTGCTGTTGTTGCTGCTGCTTCCTGGTGAGCACTTGCTTTTACAGTTTGTTTTCTATTGTTTTCCCTCTACTCGTTTGAATACTTCAGAATTGCTGCCATACTGCTGTGCTTTTTTATTTCTTCCTTGCTTCTTTGCTCTCTTGCGACCTGGATCGCCCATTTTTATTTTCCCCTGTCCCTGCTAAATTCTTATCACCAAATCAACTTCTTTTTTTTTTTTTGTCTGTCATTTTTTTCCCACCTTTTCTTGTAACCCCTTACATTCTCATGGTTTCTTTGACAGGTTCTGCTCTTATTCGATTCTACGGTGTTTAACTTCTTCGTACAACCAGGTTAGCTTTCTTTATTTTGTTCTATTCTTCTTTTACTCTTTTCTCTATGTTCTATGCTTTAATTTGTACCTCTTTGACGTTCATTTTCTGATGCATCGTTAGTTTCATCCTGCTCCAGTTCTACCTTTTATTGTTTGCCTGTTTCTGACCTTTAAACCCTTTTATGATCTTTATACATTCCATGTATACGTTATTCTGTTGTTCCTGATGTTGTTCCATTGCCAGTAAGAAAATGCCAACTTTTTGCACTGTAATTACCTGCCTGATTTTTTTCCCCTGTTAAATATTTGCTTTTTCCTCAACTGTTAGCCATTAGCTTCTTTTCATCTCGCTATTTGTTTGATTTTTACTCGCTCTGCTTTTTGTCATTTTTTAGTTTACATTCTTTTTTTGCTGAGTTAGATGTTCCTTTCTTTATATAATCCTTCGGCGTTTTAGCACTCTTAGCGATCTTGAATGGATAGAAATGCTGTTCGCCGAAAAAAGTATGCAGAAATGCCACCGCTGAAAAAAAAAGAACTGCTTCAACGTCGAAGAGAAAATAGATCTGCCAAGAAAAAAGATACACGCTTACTCTCGCGTATTCGCAAGGTTCCCTTTGGTTATATAGAATCAGGTGTTTCTTTCCCTGATTCGAACCATGGAAACCTTGATAGTGCGAATCACCCTTCTCTGCATAGTAACGTGTTAGGAGGTGAAGTATTGAAGAGCGGTCATGACAGTGCCGATGTCATTACTGAGGCATTGCAATATATGTCCTCTCGCAACTCTGCTTCTTTTGTTCCTCATGTTGCCTTTCCTTCTACTGCTGAAATAGCAAGCCACATTCCAAATGCAACTCTTCTTGCAGGTATAGTCAGTAATGTCCTTCTTCCTTCTTATCCAATGGGTTGTTTTTTGACCGCCTTCACTCCCCTGCCTACTGGTTGCTGTTTTTACATTTCAATTCTATGTAAATGGATGGATCTTCATTTACAATCTGCAGAGCTTCCACCTGCTGCTAAGGCTGATCTTAGGAGCTGCAAAGGAAAATTCCTTCCAGAAAAAAGAAAAAATTTGAACCTCTCTTCTTCCACTATTGAGCCTGATTTTTGTCTGCCTAGGAGAAAAATTAGGACCTCCATACCTGTAGCGTTGCATGAACGTCCGAGCGATTGCTTTGATCATTCGGATTGTGTCATCCCAGGTACTAGCTCTGGCAAAGAAGATTTGCCTACGAGCTGTCTTTTTCAGAATTCAGTAGAATATTGTTCTTCTGCCCATGTTTCTATGAATTGTGAAAATCTTTATCCCCTCGGAACTGCTGTTCATGCAGCCCCATTTCTGCACCAAAAAGACAAATCTTTTGAGAGGCACGATTCTATAACTAGATCTGCTTCCTCTGTTCCTGTGATCTCGGTTAACAGGACCAACAGTTCTTCTCATCTTTTTAGAAGCATTATGCAACCTTCCAGCATAGATAAAGATCCTGTACTTGCTCATCAGCTTTTTGAAAATGTTGTTACGTACTCTCCTTTGGCCAAGGTTTATATGCTACCTGGTCAGCTGCAATCTCCTTTCAATGATAAGCACCGACTATTTCATTCTGAGAAAAATATGCCACCCTTTGAGAACCAACCTTTTGAAGCAGCTTCTACATCTCAAGGTATATTTTTTGAACAGCGGCTACTCTCAATGCAGCCCTTCTGAATATTCTTTACTTCTGACCACATCCAAATTATATTCATTCAAATGACATCAGCCTGTTTTGTTTAGCTTGTTTCTTTATACGCTTGCAGAAACCACCTCTGCTCAAGTGAGTCGCTCTATGGATACTGTTGAAAGAAATGATTCGGTCATGAATGCAGCGGAAATTGCCCGCTCTTCTGCTTTCCCATGTAGAGAGCAGCCTTTTACCCGAGAACGCTGTTCTCATCGCCGTGTGCCGAAGCAGGCTCCGGGTTGGCATTTTATTTCTCAGTAGCTATTTAGATGCCATTGCTAAATAACCTGATAAAGGCCCCCCTTAGATCGCTTCTCAATTGTAGCTTCGAAATAAATGCAGCTGCACCTAAAAAGAGGAGCCAGCGAATGAATGCAGCTGCACCTAAAAAGAGGAGGCAACGACGAATTTTCCCAATCAATGAAATCCCGCATGAAGCTTTGGCTCTTCCAGATGCTCCTAATTGTGAGCACTGTGGAGCCAAGAGGTTCCATTTAGAACCTCCTAACTTTTGCTGCTCTGGAGGAGAGATTTCTATAGTTGCTCCATCTATGCCTTACGATCTTAAGCGCTTATTTATCGAAAATGATGAGGAAAGCGCTCATTTCAGAAATAATGTGAGGACCTATAATAACAACTTAGGATTCACGTCCTTTGCTGCAAAATATGATCCAGAACTGACCAAGAACACAAAAGGTGTTTATACTTTTCGTGTTCAAGGTCAGGTCTACCATTTCCTTAATAGTTTACTCCAGTCAAGCGAAAAACCTTCAGGAATTCAGTTTTACTTTTTTGATTCTGATGAAGAATTAGCAAGGAGGGTTGGAAGTTCTGATAAGCTGCGTGAAAGTACTTTAAAATTACTTATGCGTATCCTCTCGAACAATCCTTATGCTAGATTCTTTAAGAATCTCAGAAATGTCCCAACCATTGAGAGCTATAAAATTGTTTTGAATTGCTATCCTGGTTTAGACCAGCGTGTGTATAATCTGCCTACGGCCTCTCAAGTTGCTGCCATATGGACTAAGGATGACGATGAATCAACAGATAAAAATGTTCATATTCAAGTTTATACCCACTCTAATACCAGCCATAGAATTAAGCATTACTATGGCTGTTATGATCCTTTGCAATACCCTATTCTCTTTCCTCAAGGTGAATGTGGATGGCACCATGGTGTTAAAAAACTTCACAAAAGAAAGAGAAATGCAGATTCTTGTGAGAATGATTTCAATGTCGACCCTTCCTCTGTTGATGACCCTTCGCATTTACTTGATTTGGAGCGTAGAGGCAAGTGGATTTCTTGCTGTCTATCACTATTAAGAGTAAGCATCATACACTTTTCTGAATTCGTTTGACATTTTCCCCTTGGTTCGTTATAGCTGTTGAACATGGAAAGAATGAAGAGGACACTGTATCAGCGAGAGAGTATTATTGTTATAGGTTTCAAATAAGAGAAGATGATGAGTCAATGTTGCTGCACTGTCTTAGACTTCTACAACAATTTTCAGTTGATTCATATGTGAAGATAGAAACTTCTAGACTGGACTTTCATAGACACCGACAAAATGTGGTTAGGTCAAAAATTCTTCAAGGGGTATTAGACAGTGTCTCTGTGGGCCAAACTGAAGGTTCTAAAGTTGGTCGTAGGATAGTGCTACCTGCTTCCTTTATAGGTGGTCCTAGAGACATGAGGCGCCGCTATCTTGATGCAATGGCACTCGTGCAAAAGTACGGAAAGCCGGACATTTTCCTTACCATGACCTGCAATCCGGCATGGAAAGAAATTCAGTGCAATTTGAAATATCATGAGAAGCCGCAGGATAGGCCTGATCTTTTAGCTAGAGTTTTTAGAGCTAAATTTGAGATGCTTAAGCATGAACTTTTGAATAAACAGATTTTTGGTGAAGTGGCAGCATGCGTCTATGTCATTGAGTTTCAAAAACGGGGATTTCCACATGCTCATTTGTTGCTCATTTTAAAGCCTCAATTTAAGTTGCTCAATCCGGAGTCCTATGACAAGGTAGTCTGCGCTGAATTACCTGATCGGTCTCAATATCCTCATCTCTACTCTCTTGTTGTAAAACATATGATCCATGGCCCCTGCGGAGATATGGATAAAAGTTGTCCTTGTATGAAAGACGGTTCTTGCAAGAATCGCTATCCAAAAAATTTCTGCCCTCATACGACCCATGGTGAAGATAGTTATCCATCTTATAGGAGAAGGGATGATGGCAAAAAAGTGAAAGTTCGCAGATTCACCCTTGATAATAGGTGGGTTGTGCCTTACAACCCCTATCTTTTTGCTTTGTTCGATTGTCACATGAACGTGGAAATTTGTTCTACCATTAAATTGGTCAAGTACTTGTATAAGTATGTGTTCAAGGGGCATGATCAGGTTTCCTTTAGGATTATGACAGATGATAGTGCTACTGATACTGACGAGATTAAAGAGTTTCAAAAAGGCCGATACATTTCACCTCCAGAAGCTTTTTGGCGCATCTATGAGTTCCGCTTAAATGAGATGACCCCATCTGTTTATTCTCTCCAAGTTCACCTTCCGAATCAACAGCTTGTTTCCTTTCCAAAGAGCTCAGATTTGCTGCAGTTGTTAGCTAAAGTTGATTTTTCTAAAACCATGCTAACTGAGTTCTTCAAAATGAATGCAACCAACCCAACTGCTGAAAACCTTAAATGCTTTTATTAGGATTTCCCTCAGCATTTCGTTTGGTCTTCTAAGTATAGGCATTGGACAGAAAGAAAGCGTCGAAAGGTCATAGGTAGACTCGTCAGTGTTAATCCAAGAGAGGGAGAAAGGTACTATCTAAGGCTTCTCTTAAATCATATTCCAGGACCGCTATCATTCGATGATCTCTTGACTGTTCATGATCAAAAAATGGATTCGTTTAGGGAGGCTGCTTTGGCGCTTGGATTGTTGCAATCTGATACATATATAGAAGAAACACTTGATGAAGCTGCTGCATTTCAAATGCCATCCTCCCTCAGATTATTATTTGCTACTCTTCTGGTCTATTGTTCTCCAACTGATCCTGTGATGTTATGGAGAAAATTTGAATTGCACTTTTCTAAAGATTATGAGCGGCATAAACAATATCATGACTACTCTCCCGCTCAAATTAGGGGCCTGGTTCTGGCTGATATTAACAAATCACTTCAGCAGATGGGTACAAACATTGCTGCCTTTCAGTTACCATTAGATGATCTCGTTAGTGTAGAACAGGCTCACCTAACAAAGGAGATAGAAGCTGAAAGAAACATAGACATACTGCCTGAAGATCTATTAATGTCTTTGAAATTAAATTCCCAGCAAAAGTATGCTTATGACATCATCCTACAAGCATGCTTTGCTTCCCAAGGAAATTCTTTTTTCATTGATGGTCCTGGAGGTACCGGTAAAACCTTTTTATACCGGTCTCTGCTTGCTACTCTGAGATCGCAGGGCTATATAGCCATTGCAGTAGCAACCTCTGGAATTGCAGCATCTATTCTGCCCGGAGGGAGAACTGCGCACTCAAGGTTCAAAATACCTCTTGATTTCTCAAAGAACAGAACCTGCCAGCTTAGCAAGCAAGGCGGGGTTGCAAGACTGCTCTCAGAGTCAAAACTAATCTTGTGGGATGAGGCTTCCATGGCAAAACGAGAAACTATCGAGGCATTTGATGATTTGCTTCGAGACATAATGGAGTCTGAACTGCCTTTTGGGGGTAAAGTTGTTGTATTTGGTGGGGATTTTCGCCAAACACTACCTGTTATTGAGCAAGCAACAAAGGAAATCGTCTTGCAGTCATGTTTTCTGAATTCTCCATTGTGGTATAAACTTCATAAACTGAAGTTGACGGAAAACATGCGAGCTATATTGGATCCTCAATTTTCTGAATTCTTGTTAAGAGTTGGCGAAAGGCGTGAACCTGTGGACATCAACGGTGAAATAACTTTGCCTAGAGATTTAGTCATTCCTTATTACGATAAAGAAGAGTCCTTAAACAGGTTACATGGCTTAATAAATTCTGGCTTATCTATCTGCTCTTTAGTGTATACGGTTTCTGATCAAGCTTCTTTATTAACAGGTTACTGAACTGTGTATTCCCAGATTTAGCTCTCTATTCCCAGGATCCATATAGCATGATTAATAGATGTATTCTTACCCCCAAAAATAGTTCAGTTGACGAGCTGAATGATATAATGATTAGAAGGTTTCCTGGAGAGCTTCACGCTTACATTAGTTCTGACAAAACTGTAGATCAGCGGCACCAGGGGGATTATCTAGATTTTCTTAATTCTCAGAATCCAAAAGGCCTTCCTCCTCACAGGTTAATGTTAAAAGAAAACTGCCCGATTATACTTATAAGGAATCTAAATCCCATTGAAGGACTATGCAATGGCACAAGGCTTATATGTAGAGAGCTTGGCCGGCATACTATCTCTGCAGAAATTGTCTTCGGCCAGCATCGAGGAAACAGAGTTCTCATTCCAAGGATACCATTGCAAACTCCTGACAGCCAAAAGAATTCGATTGCATTCATAAGAACTCAGTTTCCTATTCGACTCTGTTTTGCATTGACCATTAATAAATCTCAAGGATAAACTCTAGATTATGTTGGCATTTACTTGCGAGAACCTGTCTTTTCTCATGGACAGTTATATGTAGCCTTGTCCAGAGCTAGAACTTCAGCTGAGCTGAAAATACTTATTGTACCAGGAACTTTTGATGGTATAAAAACGGACTGCAAAACTAGAAATGTTGTATTCAGTGAAGTTTTTGAATTGAGCCAGCAGTAGAATGTCTTATATTCAGGTATACTTGCACCGGTCTATGGCTGTGTTTACTTATTGCTAATGTCTTATGCATACCCAACCTTGTGCATTATAATCATTTTACCTTCTTTTACAGAAATGTCTAACCTCCTGCTGATTGATAATATCATGCCTGATATGAAGAACTGGTCTTGTATCATCACAGTTCAAGAAAAGCAACAAGTCACAGATTCTATGGGAACACCGACCAAGAAGCAAAAGTTTATCTTCTATGATTCAGAGGTAAAATTTTAGATCCTTAAATGACCATTAGCTATTTAATCTTTTATTTGTTTGTCTATCATGTTTGTTATATGGAAAATTTTTTTTTGCTTGATGATAGGGCTCTAAAGTTGAAGGGATAATCTTCAATACTGATATTCCAAGGATGAGTCCTATGCTTCAGGTCTATAAGAGATATAAAATTTCAAATGCTGATGTCAGAACTATTCCACCAAAGTTTCGGAGTGCTGGATTAATCAAACAGTGGGTTATCACTTCAAAAACTGTCATTGAAGAGGTTGATGCCAATGAGGACATTATGCCTGTTAAATTTGCTTTCACTGACTTTGCTGATTTAGCTGAATACATGGATGATAGAACGAAGTCCGTCGGTGAGTATGCAACCAGGCTTGTCTATCATGTTTTTATCACACATCGCTCTGTTCTCAGCTTGCCTTCTCTCCCTTCGCAGATGTCCTCGGAGTGGTGATCAGTTCATTAGCCATGAAGACAATCACTAGAAACTCCAAACAGTCAAACGTTCAGAAATTTGTCATCCTTAATGAAGAGTATGCAATCTTTTTATCATACTGCACACTCTTTTGCTGACCTTATCTCACTTTTCCTTTATCTTTGAATCATTTTCATCCTGGCCTTTATATCAATGTTAGGTCTCAAACTGTCCTGCTATCTTTATGGGACGATTTTCTGAACAATGAAGGCCAAGCTCTGTTGAACAACATGCAAAGCTATCCTGTAATTATTGGTCGAAGACTGAGAGTTAACAACTACAATGGTCTGTTCAAATGCTGTCTTTTTTGTATTATAACCTTTACTTCTAGCTCGGTATTCATTTTGTTCTTTATACTACAGGTGTTTCTCTCTCTACTTGGTTCGACTCTGCTTTGCTTGTTGATCCACCGATACAGGAAGCAAGACAACTCAAGAATTGGTGCAATGGCATTAACTGACATTTTCTTTTTGTACTTCAATGTCACTTATATTTTTACACCAACTGATATTTTCCTTACATCATGTTTTTTTTTGGTAGGGCAATGAGAAATGCAGAGTCAATTGCAGAGATCGTTGATGCAAAGAGCTACATTAAATACAATCCTGCACTTTCTTTAAAAAGAGACCAGAAAACTACTCTGATTTGCAATGTTACCCCATCACACAAGGTGATCAAATGATAACCTGTTCTATAATTTTATAACGTCGTATCTATTCAGTCTTTCACCTGATAAATGCCTATCTTTTAGACTGCTTGGGTCAAGGCAAATCTCTCCTTTGAACACATCTTCCAGAAATATTGGTACATGAGTTGTGCAAAATGTTACCGAGCTACAGCGGCAGATTATGGAATTGAATTTACTTGTAATTCATGCAAAGAAAAGGGACCTGCTATGCCTAGGTCCTGTATTACTAAATCACTGGCTTTAATTCTGCTACTTAATTTCTCTTAACCTTACTGTTACAGAGTGTATAGCCTAACAGCTTGTATACTTATTTTCAGATGCCGGTTTGACATTGAATTGAGCGATGACAGCGGAGCTATACCTGCTTCTATTTTTGGAGATCTAGCAGAAAATATTCTGACCTTTACTGGCCTTGAAGCAATGGATAACTTTAATCAGGTTATTTTAATTCATCGAATTTAATAATAAGTGCAATGTTTCCATGTCACCCTTATAGCTTCTTTGCTTCTTCCAGAATCTTGAGCTGCCACTTGAGTTTGTTCATGCACAGCTTAAAACAAAGACATATCTGGTTCACATTAAGCCAGTCCAAACACAGCTCGCTGATGCCAGACAGCGTTATACAGTTCTATATTGCTCTGAACTTGAACCAAAAATTGCTCGTCCTCAGTTAACACATGAACCAGAATCTGTCTCTCTTTCAGCTGACCAGCAGACAGAAAATGAGCAGCTGTTGACACCAGGTTGATGAATATACCTGGAAGAATTGTGATGCATAACTATGTTTTCTTTGACTGAACTATTAACTTAGCTTAGCGTTGCACTTGCAGAACATGGCAGCTCTAGCTCAAAAGTGCGCCTTCGGCTCAGTGAAAAGTTTGATGAAACAGACACTGTTAGCACCAATGACTTTGACAGTCCAGATGCTGACTCTAAGAAGAAAGCAAAATTAGTCTGAATTGCCTTCGCTGCCTTTTGGATTGCTCAGACATAAATATTTTTTTTTGGTTTTGTGATCTGCACTTGTATGACTTTTGTTAATGGCTTTTGTTAATAGGCAGATTGTTAATGGCTTTTGAAAATACTGCTCATCCATTCACAATTCCCTGGCTTTTGTACGTGGTTATCTACTAAACAGCTTTTGTCGTGATCATTGAACTTTGATAATGGCACCTGTATCAAGGTTCTTGCCAGGTTTTCAAAGATTAACTGAAATCCTCCATCTTAGCAGAACCATGGGGATTTTTACAGATATCTTTGGATTCCTGACAATGAACTCCCTTCCTGTAGAACTAACAGCTTTGTAATCTATACAATGTGGGATTCCTTTCCATTTCGTTCTATTTTCTGCATTACAGTTGTTATTATCACTTTCGAACAACCAGTTCTGTGTACATAGTTGTTCATTTATTACACAAATTCTTGCCAGTTTTCAAATAAAACTTATATATTCTGTTCCTGCTGCTTACATGTCAGACTGTCTGCTCCACTTAACATGCCAAGTACACGATGACTTATAATTTTCCCTTCAAACCATTAAAGCACTACAAATGCACAGCTATAACATGCTGTCAATTGGCAGCTCGCACTTAATTTCTGCCATTCAATTGTCTTTTCTATTCATTATTTCTTACCATCCTCTGCTGCAACTAATTAATCTTTTCAGCCGTGGTAGGAAAGAGCTTGAACTTAGCATTAAAACCAATGAAAAATACACTCTTTTTGCATTCATCTTTTCTTTATATATATCCTCTTTATCATTTGCAAAATCATACATAAAAACTGTCCACCATACATTTGCACTGGCACATTTTCTGCACAAGAACTTGTCCACAGGTGAATAACTCTGCGATCTATTTCTAGCACTCATAAGATAATATAGGCTTGTGCTTACAATTTTTATTAACAAGGCACTTTTCTGATTTTTCAATTCTTCAGTTTTCTTCCTTATAGATCAATAGCAGATGCAATGTCTGTATCTCCAGCGAATTTTCCTCCGACAAATAGCTGTTTACCAGCTTGCTGTTTTCTGCTCAAATGCATTCACAGAGGACAGGTTAACTTTTAGTTCATGTTCACCTGCATTGCGGCATTTATTGTTGAATAGCATGGTATTCTCTGACATTATTTTCCTGTCTCATTTTTTCAAGGTATTACCAGCTCAGTTTGAATTGTTGCTTCATCAGCATCACTGCAATAGAATCACTCTAAGGTTTGGACTACGGCAATGGACCATCACAGTTACTGATCATGCATTCGGAGAAGGATGGGATGTTTTTTGTGAACACAACATTGTTAAAAGACATGACACGTTGTTACTTCGACATAGCGGAAATCTGATATTTGATGTCATTCACTTCTGTGAACTACAAAAAGAAGTTTTATTGCCCTGGACAGTTCCCCTGCCAGACCTGTTGCACTTGAATAGCGTTGCATCACGAGGTGAAAATATCACTGTATCTATCTCATATCCTCATCCATATCATACATAGTTTTAAATTTAACTCATTATCACTGATTCCAGATGATATCCATGCACCTACTAGACACCAGCAAGTTGCTTCGTCACTCAGACCAAATTTCTGCCAAGATCTATCTGATTCGGTTTGCTTTTATCAAATATTTAACTCTGCAACTCCAAACAATTTGGTCAGCTATTCCATGTTTACCTGCATTCTCTTTATCATCCCAACTTTCTTGCAAGCAATTTCCTTTTGTTTCTGCATATCTTCTGATCTCAACCTCTTCATGACAGAAAATTCCACGCTTTATTGATCACTTCATCAATGGTACCAAGACTCCGATGTTGCTTATCAATACTGGAAACAAAAGTGCTCGGATAGGTGTAAAGCATAAATGCCTTCACAAAAACTGGAGAGATTTCATTCTTGAACATCAACTGCAGCACAACGAAACCCTTGTTTTTGTTCCGGAATTTGAAAATATATTTACGGCTTTGATCTTCGACGATACCGGAGTTGAAAAGATTTTTCCTTGGTATCACGCATTCAATATTTGTTCAGATGCTTGACGAATTTAACTGAATGTAATTTACCTATAAATTAAATACATTACCGATAATTTCAGCTTCATCTTAGCTACCCTATACAGCTATTGGCCCGTGAACCTTAATACATTACTTCTTGTTTGTATTAATTAATATTACAAAATTAATTACTCAGCTGGGCATTACTGGGCATCATTACATTCGCCCACCGCGCATCGCGCGGTGATCACCTCCTAGTAGTGTCCTGCACCAGCAAACGCGGCTTACGCTTCTTTCACTACAACATCAGTCACTACTCACTACTACTACGACTACTATTACTGGTTCCTCACTCTCAGTCCTAAAAAACACGCACAACACGCACTAAACTCTCTCCTTCTCCCTCTCCCTCTCTCTCAGGTCTCCTCTCAGACACATTTCCCACAGCAGTGACGCACACACACTCTCTCTCTCTCTCTCGCACAACACGCACTCGTTTCATTGAACTTCACCTTGTTGGTGGCTTAGATCTCTGTCTTTAAAACCCTAACCCGTATTTCTTACCAGATCTGCTATTCTGTGATTGCTAAATTTTGCAGCCGCATTCCGGTTAAATTATTGATTTTTTATAGAAGATGGTGGTTTAGAAAGTTTGGAGGACCCAATGGCGAGCTCCGACCCGAGTAAGCGACCCAGGCCCGGTCCTTGGCCGCCGGGCGCTGCTGCACCAGAATCCGGTCCCGCAATGCCACCTTCCTCTTGGGCGAAAAGGACCGGTTTTCGTCCTAAATTTTCGGGGGAGACTAATGCCACGGATTCCGGTCCGATTTCAGTTCAGCCGCAGCCGAAGCCTAAAGAGCCCGAACCCAATCTCGATCTCGAAGCGGGCCGAGTTCGGCCCACTCCAACGTCAAATGGGGAGCTGTCTCCTGTGCCGGAAAAGCCCGGTCAGCAGAAGGATAAGGATAAGGTGGTGAGGAAAAGGAGGGATTCTGATGGAGGTGGTGGTGGTGGTGCGGGTGCGGGGGCGGGGGCTGGCAAGGGTTCGAGGCCCAATGGGCAGGCTGCGAGTGGGGGGGAGACGGCGCAGGGGACGGGGTCGGGGAGTCGGAGGGCCACTCGGAATGAAGAGGTGGTGGATATGTTGCCGCAGACTGTGGTGGAAGATGATGGGTTTATTTCAAAGCAATCACATATGAAGTATGAGCTTAGAGATTCACCTGGTCTTGGTGAGCTTTTGATAGACGAGTAGTGTTGGATAGTAACTACTAGTTGTTTAAATTATAATCCAGATATGTGGTGTTTGGCTGAATAGTTAATATTTTATTATTGTGTTAGTGAAATGGGTTTTAGGTGAAAGGGGTTTTAGCTGTCTGTTCTAAATATGGCGAGAATTTGGTGTAGTTGTTAATTTTAAAAGTAGAAACCTGGCACTTTTTAGTGAGGGTTTTGTTGTACTTAGACATATGTAAGTGGGTTTTTATGCTTGTCTCTCTGTGAGTGTCTGTTGACTGTAGCCAATTTTGGCTTTCCAATAGCTAGCTTATTTTGTAATAGTAGTTCAGAAAAGTTTTTATTTTTGTTCATTTTTTCCTTAAAATACGTCAATACTATCACTGCTGATCGTTGTTATTCTATGAAACAGTAAGCTTCACTGATAAAACTATTGCGAATTTGAATTGCTAAAGCGTGGAAAAAGATGATCTTATCAATATAGTTTTGAAAAGAATATGTACTTGGAGATTGTAGTCTAAAATGCTGAGTATTGTATGAATCTGGTATCTTTCAGTTCCTATCGGGCTATATGGATTTCAACACTATCTTTCAATGTTGGGGTCACTGATACTAATTCCTCTGGTTATAGTTCCAGCAATGGGCGGCAACTATGTGAGCACTTGTAATTTTTTTATTTGATATCTAGGAAAGATTCTGCCTTTTTTTTGGCTTTATGTTCATCACATGATGTTGAACTTAATGAAGTAACTGGTGCAGGAGGATACGGCAAACGTGGTTTCCACTGTGCTTTTCATTTCAGGGCTGACGACACTTCTACATACAGCCTTTGGATCAAGGCTGCCCCTAATACAGGGTCCATCTTTTGTTTATCTTGCTCCAGCTCTAGCAATAATAAACTCCCCTGAGTTTTTGCGGCTGAATGGGAATGTATATCTCAACTTCTCTATTAGACTTATAAAGTACACCTGCTTGTACATAAATTTTTTTTCCTTATTAAACCATAAAAAAAAATTTCAGCCCTAGTTCTTGTTCTTCGGTTAGATTTTGATACGCATAGGCATTGATTTCCTGAAAAAAAAACTAGAGTGTTGTTCCCAAATAACAGAGATAAAGCTGGTGCCTCATGTTAGGTAGATCGATGACAGTATTTCTGCTAGTTCAGGAGAATAGGCCCTAAAGCTGTGGACTGGCTTGTCAAAGGCTAATTAAAATAATGATTGATCTTCTGTAAACTGTCAGATTAAATTAATCTTCACACTTGTAGGTTTAGATGCTGAAGAAAAGCACTTCTTAAATTCAAATTAGATCTTAATGCACATGGGATGAAGACCTAGGCCCCCTTCATTAAAAATATTTATATGCTGATAGTGCATACAAGATTATCTTTGAAATAATATTGCACTTGATTGCTAAGAATCAGCTGGGGAGCTTGAATGTTGTGCCTGCATGTTGATAATAGTCTAGCTTGCTTTTACTGATCTCCAGTTGAATTATGCTGCTACTTGCATCAGTCATGAACAGTGTAATGAGCTGTTGAGCAGATGAACCCACTAGCAGTTTGGATTTTGTAGTATGTTGGTACGTTGTAGGAGGATGGAATAGGGAAATGCTTTCTTATTGTTTTTCCAACTGAAAGTTAATTTTCTCTTCAATCCTCTTCCTGATAGACCAGTCAGGCCTTCAATGAAAATGTATCATGAAATTGTATGTTTTGTCTTTGGTAATTAATAACATTTCTTATTGAGTTCTAATTCTTATGCTTCAGAATTTCAAGCATATTATGAAAGAACTACAGGGGGCTATAATCATTGGTTCAGCTTTCCAAACCATCCTGGGATATAGTGGTCTGATGTCATTATTATTGAGGTAGGATATTATTACTGCATCTTATCAGGAAAGAATTTCCTATTGATCATTGTTTCGATGAGTTGAGAAAAGCTTGATTCATCAGGAGTGCAGTTGTTAAATGTCCTATTGCTGTGCTTCTGATGCCTTAACAATGCTAGATGTTAGTAGTTGGCATGTGTAATTGGCTATACTAAGGATGCTGTTGACTCTTTTGCTTATGTTTTCAACTCCAAAAGGGTTGAATTTCCAATGTGCTGTATGAAATAAACTTCTTGCACATATAGAAATAACAATTCCAATGTTATTTTTATTGTTACTTTTGCCATATCCAAGGATTTGTTTCTTATTAGAAGGGGAAATAAAATGCCAAGGGGTCCTATAGTTGTTTAAGAACATAAGCTTAAGATTCCCAGATTACTAGATACAAATATATTGCTCTGCACGTTACAACATATAAACTGTCATATTCCTACAAGCACATACCTACATAGATTTTTTTTTTTGTTTTTTTTTAATTAGTTACATTAAATACTACAGGTTTGATAATTATCACAACAATGTTATGCCTGGACAGATGTTAAAGGGTTGATATAGGAAGATTCCACTGCATTGTGACCAAAACTTGTTGTATTCTACAAAAACGAAATTCTGGACATTTAGAGTCTGCAACATGTATAAAGCTAATCACATACATGTATAAAGCTAAGTTTACCCAAGTAGTACCTATATTCTTCTGGGCTTGATTAACATGCTTATCCACATTTGACCTTCTTCAGATTCATTAATCCAGTGGTTGTCGCCCCTACCATTGCTGCTGTTGGACTTTCGTTCTACAGTTATGGTTTCCCACGAGTTGGTACTTGTCTTGAGATTGGTGCTGTGCAGATATTGTTAGTTGTTATTTTTTCTCTTGTAAGTTTATCTGCCACCAATTGATTTTTTTTCCTCTCTTGTCCATTTTACATTATATTACAACTTTATCTTGTTGCTGTTACCTCTTGGTTCCCTTATCCTGTCTCACTTTGTCAATTTCATTGTCTCTCTCTTGTACTGCAGTACCTTCGTAAAATATCTGTTTTGGGTCATCGGATATTTCTAATATATGCAGTAAGTGGAAGCTTTAATTTTTTTCTTTATTGGACTTTTGCTGTCATTTATGTACTTTGTCTAGTCTTTTGCACATTTAACCTAAATATGTGTACAGGTACCTTTGGGCCTGGCGATTACATGGGCCTTGGCTTTCCTTCTGACTGAAGCTGGAGTATATAGCTACAAAGGTTGTGATGCGAATATACCAGCCTCGAACATAATATCAGACCACTGCAGAAAGCATATTTCTAGAGTGAAGCACTGTCGAGTTGATACATCTCATGCACTAAATTCTTCTCCATGGTTTAGATTTCCTTACCCATTGCAGTGGGGTACACCTGTGTTTCACTGGAAAATGGCTCTTGTGATGTGTGTGGTGTCCATTATCACATCAGTGGATTCGGTGGGTCTTCCCTGTTTCCTGCTATCTTATATTCATGTACATTTTACCCTTGTTTCTTTCTGGGTTATGTTTCTATGGACATTCTTAGTCTGTCGTTTAACTTTTGCTGCTAACGTAAATACACAATCTTACAGATATATATTGCACAGTTTAACACGGGTTAAGTTTTAGATTTCTTGGTCCTGTCAACTTTCCTTGATTTACAAGACAGCCTCTATTCTTTTTTTTTTTGGGGGGGGGTGGTGGTGGGGGTGGACAATGTTCTATTGGTACTAAAGCTATGTATGTGGCTTTGGAGCATTAGTGCCTTGTGCTAAAATCCTATTATATTGCTAAGGCCTTGTAAATGAAAGGATGGTTATGTGCATTGGATGTATATGCTCATCCAGTAATTGTAATTGCAAACATTACCGACCAGGAAGATTTGAAGTTCAATAGAAGACACGGTCTTAATTTTTTGCAAATGGTAGTAATTCTGTTAAGTGATGGGAATTGATGAATTAGTTTTTGGTGTCCTATCTCTGTTGTTAATTTAGACAATATCTGGGATGTGTCTGATTTTGTAACTGCAAACAATGACGTTCAATATCTGGAATTCCAACATCTGTTCTAAAATCGTGGCTTTGGTTCTGGAGTTGCTGGCCTTAAGATGTGAAAATCTTCCATTCTGCATGCTAAACCCGATTCTTTGACTATCACAAGTATTGGCTGATTTTGACTTAATTGAGCAATACAGAACCAATTTACTGGGCAACATTTTTTTAAAGTAATTTGTGTATTTCCTTTTTAAGCATGATGCTAGAATATTGAAAGAGCTGTTATTGATGGCAATAGAAAATAATATTAAAATAGATGAAGGGAATCTTCAAAATTGGCTTGGTAAAAGAAAATTACGATTGAAATTCATACATCTTTTATGAAAATTTGGTTACTTGTGAGTTTACATTGATTTTTTTCCCCCGACTTGGGTCTTGTGAGGCTTTTGATTGGATTTTCTAGTCTATATAAGCTAAGTATCTCAAGTTTGTTACCCTGATGAGATAGAACTTTCTTAAGCTGGTGAATAGGCAACAAATTTTATTGTCCTTGTTGCGCTATGCTGAATAGAACTTGATTTTATGATGTTCGAGTCTTGGACTCAATTTGATTTCCAATAGCACATTTATGTTTTTAGGTTGGGTCATATCATGCATCATCCTTGTTGGTGGCATCCCGACCTCCAACACCTGGTGTTTTAAGTCGAGGAATTGGTCTTGAAGGCCTAACTAGTCTATTGGCTGGTCTATGGGGAACTGGGACTGGATCAACCACCTTGACTGAAAATGTGCACACAATTGCTGTCACAAAGATGGGCAGTCGAAGAGCGGTTCAGTTGGGTGCAGGTGTTTTAATTGTCCTTTCCCTCATAGGTATGTGTTTTCGCACTTTTGCTTAATATATGTGCAAGAGCATGGCAATAATGGTGGGAATGTATTGCCACCATGGACAACTATGTTTAGAACATTAGTTCAAGGTGTTTTAGAAGATAGGACTCAGCTGATGCGAGGTTACTGCTTGGATTATATCTGGTGGTTGTGGGCACTGTTTGGAAGTTTAAGTGAATCTCATAATGCTTAAGATGTCAAAGGTTGTTTGATTGTCAGTACTAAAAGTAATGTATCATGTGTGTTGGGAGAAAGGCCTCTGAGTGGCCCCAATAATCACTGAAAAGCATCATTGCAATCAGATAAACTTTGGGACGCTTCCATTCGTTAATTGTGGCAATTTGGTCAATCATTTTATCTGTAACTTTTAATGCCTATACTGGATTATAATTCTGATGGATTCTGTGTGTTATTGTCTGATGACCGATCCCTAGAATGTTGTTTATGTGGGAGTTTTAAGACATGGTAGTCAAGACCAAACTTCCTTTGCTCCTCCAAGCAGTCAAAATTTAATGCTTTTCCCACTGATATTAGCAGGATACTTTATGCTACATACACATACATACATACATACATTCATACATACATATATGTATGCGCGTGTGTGCGCGTATATGCATTGTCAGTATGCTAGTTGACTCCAATTTTTACCTTGCGAACTAGCTACGTCTGCCTATGTCCTCTTTACTCAAAGGAGATCCTCAAATTGATTCGAGTCTCACCCAAGTTATAACCGTAAATCCTCTTTGCTATGTTGACAGGTAAAGTAGGTGGGTTTATTGCATCAATTCCTGAAGTCATGGTTGCAGCTCTCTTGTGCTTCATGTGGGCAATGCTTACTGCATTAGGCTTGTCAAATTTACGATACAGTGAGGCAGGAAGCTCAAGGAACATAATCATAGTGGGCTTGTCATTGTTTTTCTCCCTTTCAGTGCCAGCTTACTTCCAACAGTATGGTATTTCTCCGAATACCAACTTACCAGTTCCAAGTTACCTTCAACCCTACGCTGTGGCTTCTCATGGTCCTATCCGCACCAGATATGGAGGGGTATGCATGTAGCTATTAGCAAGTTTGCCTGATATACCCCAAATACATATTCCTTTTTTCTAATATTACAGTTTTTCGGCTTTCCATCATTTAATATTTTGTTTTGAAGGCTTTTTATACTCGAATGTTGCAGTTAAACTACTTTGTGAACACGCTGCTTTCACTTCCCATGGTGATCGCATTCTTAGTAGCTGTAATTCTGGACAATACTGTACCTGGAAGTCGGCAGGAACGTGGAGTGTATGTGTGGTCCGAAGCTGAGACTGCAAGAAGAGAACCTGCTGTAGCTAAAGACTACGAGTTACCATTTAGAGTTGGGAGAGTTTTCAGATGGGTAAAGTGGGTTGGACTGTAGGAGGAGGATGATGCTATGTTACTCTCCTTGCTACAAGTTTTGTCACACATTGGTAGCCACCATTTCTGGAGAGTGTGGTTGATGTTCTGATATAAGCTCCTCGAATTTGCATGGCGATCTATTGAAGAGTTTTTAGTTTGCAGCGACGCGCAAATGGGGCTTTCTGGGACTAGTGGCCTGATAGAGAGTTAATTTTGTGTACATTGGAGGATCAGAAGGAATCTGTGTTGTAATTTAAAGTTGTAAAAGCCCTGTATGTAATTTTGAGGTAAGGTCCTTGGATGGACTTCTCCATTTGCACAGTAGCTAGCAATGAGAATTTACTTCTTCATCCATTATATAAAAAAGTTTGCATGTAATCTTTTTTGGCTTAGCGGGGGGCTGAATTAATTCTTTTTTATTTTTTTGAGAAATTCAAAATTTATAAGCTGCAGTGCTTCTTGAAGCGGCTGTGTAATTTCTTTTGTGTTTTTATTTCGTATTTTGATGAGAAACTTGTTGTAAAGACTAAGGGTATATATACGTATAGAGATGTTTTCGCTACACACTCTTTCTTCGATGATTGCTTTTATTCATCATCTTTTTATACACTGATAGTGTATGTACTTTCACTATTAAATGCATGGTAATAGTATATATATTATCAGTGTATATAAGATTTATTCATATAATAATAAATTTATTTTCCCTATTTTTCACTATTAAATGCACGGTGATAGTGTATATATTATCAGTGTATAAAAGATTTATTCATACAATAATAAATTTATTTTCCCTATTCCTTGAACGGGATTGGGAGCGTCTTTGAAATCCAAATGCGAAATTGGCCTACACCAGATACTAGGGTCCAAGAACTATGAAAACTGCAATCCTGCCCGACCCAATGTTTGTGGATTTTAAAGTAACTTATGGGCCGCCTCAAGCAAGGGAATCTATCATGATTCAAAGTTTTTCTTATTGGTTTCCAAATGCATTTTCTTTTGTTATATGTCACTTTCTTTTTTTTTCTTTTTCTTTTTTTGGGGATATTTCTGTGGTCAATTGATTGTTAGGATGCCATTATTTAAGCTCAAAATCCAAATATTCCTCGACTAGATTTGACGGGTGTGGCGCCCTGTTTTGAAGAAGTCGGTTATGATTGGTGTTTTTTGCTTTGTGTTGTGGTGGGCTGGCGTGGGCTTGGTTTGGGGGGGGGGGGGGCCTTAAACTTGCACCATTGATAGATATTTATGAATTTACATGTTTCTTTCTTTTCCGGATGCCACTCAACTTCTTCAAGCTGAAAAACCACGAACCTCCTCTTTCAACATTGCCAAACTCATTCTTCTTTTCTCAACTCATCCAAAAACTCTACATCGATTACTAGTCCTCAAAAGTGTCGTGCATAAATTCCCGCTACTTCTTCGTTCAATAACTTGACAAACCCAGACAAGAAAATGACCAAATTCAAGCAAGATGGAATCCTTTGAATTTTCCTTCCAAAACATGCGCAAAAAAATTTGTTCGTTGAAGGTTTTCAAGTCTTTGTGTAGGAAATAGTTTCTTGTTTGAACGAAATTGCCAATCCCGAAATATTGCCAAGACCCTTCAACCCCGAAATATTACCATGCCCATGTGTTAAGAGACTGCAAATTCCCTCTTGTACCAGAACAAGTCAATGATCAGTCGGTAACATATATTATATAGAATACTACTTTGTTTTTTTTTAAGAATTTCAACTTCTTAGTGAAGTTATTTGGTTGACATATTGCAAGGACAATGTTGACAAGAATTCCACTTAGAGGTATGGGAGAATTGTGTGAAGATTTTAATCACTAAAGCTTGTACTAGTAGTTTAATGCAGTCAGCCAATGTGAAGCAACTAATAAAGTATCAGTAAGAAATGAAACAAACTAAAGCACCAAAGATAAACCCAAAATCTCAGCCTCTACACCTAATTGATCACAATTTATATGTCTGGCAATATTAATTTCTTGAGTATAAAATTTTAATTTGAACCCAATATAAGAATTATTATCATTTTATCCCCTTAACATTTGATAATAGTATCAATTTTCCCCTTGACATTACTTTTTAATCACTTTACTTCCAAAACTAATGGCCAAATTTAACCAAGTTTGTTAATTCATTATAAGTTAAAGGAATAAAGTGACAATAACAATGTAGTAATAAAAGAGTATTTTATCCAAAATTTGTTAATATGTTGAGTTGAATTAACTATGGGAGTAATCACTAAAGTGATAATAACCTCCAATATAATTCTGATCATGATGGTCATGTGGCGTCATCAATGAAGCATTTTACCAACCTCTTTGAAATAGGACACACCATAATCATAACTATGGAGTATGAGTGGACGTTTGCATAGATTAGCAAGTGGTTAACCTGTGATTTCTTGCCCACTAATCTTTATATGGTTGGGAGCCCATGCAACTTGCAACTGCTAAGACCTTTTATTCCCATAGTGATGCACTTAAAAAGGGTCTAAATCTTCGTTTTATGAGATTAAAGTTGTTAAACCTAGTCCTCATACATTGCACTTGTCACTTGATAATATTAAACCGTGATTACCTACCTTTACCAGGATTTTTCTTAACCAGAGTTTTTTCTTTTCTTTTATATGTGTTTACCATGTTGCATTTGTTGTTGTTGGGGTTGGGGTAAAGAGGGAGAGAGGGGGAAGAGGAGGGGATTACTTTATGCTTCTTAAACAAGGAAAAGGATTTTGGTAAAGGGAGAACTTTTGTGCTTATTCAAGCATGGCTTTCTTGTAGGTCTCTTGTAGCAATAGAGGCTTATATATAGATTAATTTTTTCAACATTGACGATGTATACACTATCAGCATTGAATAGTGTATCCACTGACAACTATGTAAAATTTAAATTTGAAATGCAACTTTTGCATACATATCATAAATTAAACGGTAATAGTATATATACTGTCAGTGTCTATAAGATTTACTCTATATATATATATATAGTGTAACTTTTGGTGTCTGTAATTAATAAGATTTCTGGTGTGTGTGTATAATATATATATTAGTTTAGCAATTTTGGATTAGGTGTAAAATTTTCCTGCACCGACCGAAACTCTAGTTGACGTATTCGAAGAGAGAGCTACATGTCTTACCCTTGAAATATCAAATTTGACCAACTTCGTGTCAAAGAAGACACCAAAGGCTTGAAATTACGAAACCAAATGTTGCTTCAAGGCACTAAATCACCATTTCCTAAGGCTTCAATATAGTATGCAGCTGATGTAAAGAGGGTAAAACTTGTTTACCAATCTTCCCAATGACTCGTCAATTTGCAGGTAAGCTGGTCAATTCACCACCAGTATCTTTTATTACTCCAATTTTATGTATGCGTGTCCTCGCAGCTGGCTACGTAAAGCATGTTCCACTTGTACACAGGGTTTAATTAATAATCATTGCTGACAACCCAAATAATAAAAAAGAAACAAGAAGATGAAAAAATTACTTGTCATCTTTCACTTTCATCAATTCTTTTTGTTTTTAAAGTTTAATCTGTTTTGTGCCAATAGAGTCAAACGATGTTAGTTGAAGACATGATCGAGTTGGTGATGTGTGAAGACATGATTAGCACTTAAAAAAAAGTAAAAGTATGATACATGAAGATTTCCTGTAACATTTATACATAGGAGAAAATCAAACTAATAAGTCTGAGGGCGTCGCTTTTGCAGAAATTCAGATTAAGACAAATTGAAATGAAAAGCCGAAGACATTTCTCATTTCTGAAGCTGCACGTGGAGTAATTCTTTCTACGAAAAAAGAATACCATGGCACGACAAAAATGAGTCAGTGTTCATATTGGAACGTGGGCATATTGAATTTGATCTGTCAAACAGGGCCAGTGGTTGGCAGCAAGTTTTGTCGCAGTTTCTTTCACCTACCATTATTGGTGACATCGCGCAAGTAAAATGAAGCTGCCAACACCGGAAGCCTTCATATGGTTGTTGACAAGTGACGGCCATCCTGTATGAATTTCAAACTTGGGGGGGAACCACTTGATAATTGTACCAAGATGGAGGGACCAAAAATATTATTATAAGTAGAGAAGGTGGAAGCATTATTCATGGTAGTATTTCATACTTCATACTATATAGGTTGTTTCATTTGTTTGATGTACGATATTTTTCCTCAAAAAAAGAAAAAAGAAAAAAGAAGAGCATGGATAATACGTATTTTCGACTATTACTACTGTTTAGGCTAATTCCATTTTTCACTTCCGAACTTGTACCTTATTTTCACTTTAGATCATGAATTTTAATTTTGAACACTTTGCATCTGTAATTTTTCAAATTTGTCCCATTTAAATCTGATTAATAATAAGGGTCCCGTTTGACAAGTGAGTTTTTTGGATGTTTGTCTAAAACTTTACTGTAACTTACTGTAGAAGTTTTTTAAAAAATTTTTGAAATGTGTTTTTTTTTTTGAATATTTTGAAGTGTATAGTTTAAAATTTTTGAGAAGTTTTTTGAGGTTACTATAGCTAAAATTTTGAAAAAAACTTATAGCAGACAAACTTAGCAAAAAACTTGACTACTAAACAAGGCCAAGGTTAGTAAAACTAAGGGCATCCACAGCGCGGTGTAATGGGGGGCCATACACCGCTCTATGATACCCCCCATTACACCGCTCCATGACACGGCTCCCATTGGAGCCTGGGAGCCGTGTCATGGATATTACACGTATCATATCTGTGGGATCAGCACCAGCAACGGATAGCCAAGCAACGGAAGCTCCAGCAACGGATCAATTACTTGCCAAGATGATAATTTTACAACGGCTAAATTACTTCCTATAAATATACAAAGTAATTTTTTTATTTCATCTCACAATCTTCTACTCCATTATTTCAGTATTTTATCATTATGGATGAGAATCTTAGTAGTTTTAGAAATATGTTAAATAGTCCAAATATAGAAAATTCATCCGCTTCACAAAATCAAAACCACCAAAATTTCCAAAATTATCCAAATTTGCCAAATTATCCATTTCCAATTCCATATTACCCAAATTTACCCAATTCCAATCATCCATCAAAATTTCAAAATCCACCACATTTTTCATATCAAATTCCCATGTATCCGTCACCTAATTTAGCCAAATTCCCATGTGCTCCATCCTAAAAGCCAAACATAATATTTCTTAGTCTATTTTTAATTTATGTTACTATATGTAATTTTCTAATCACTGTTTGAGTTTTTAATTGTTTATTTGTAATATTACTTATAATTTCATGTCATTTATGTTAATTGGAAATAAAATTTTAAAGTTTACTATTTTAATTTTATTATGAGTTGTGCATTATTAAAATGAAAGAGGGTAGAAAGTATAATAAAAGAGGAGATAGTGGAATATTGACGTGGCATGCGGACCCATGCTATTATACTCTGTTAAGTGTAATCTATTGTGGATGAGAGTGTAATAAAAAGAGGAAATAGTGAAATGCTGATGTGGGATAGTGGAATGCTGATATGGCATGTGGATTATACCTTCAGGGGTATAATCCATTGGA